AGCAAAAAAAAAACCCAACCTTGGCTGAATTGTGTTCTGTTGCTTTGGGGATGGTAGAACTTGCAAGCGATGAAACTGGGTATTTTGCTGAGGAGATTTCTAAACAAAGTGTTGCAGGTGCAAGTTGGCTCCTCTTTACTGCTTACAGTAAAAGGTGAGAGGAGAGAGATGAATTGAAGACATTGTTAAGAAAAAAGGTTCAACCAGAACTTGAAGATGTGGATAATTCTCAGTCCATCTGTCCTTCAGAAGAAACGAGAAAGTACGTTCTGGGGAGGACACGAAAGGTGCGGCTGGGCAGTCGCTTCACGAGGAGGTCAGCATGGAGTGAGCTAGCCGTCCCAGCAGAAGTGAGGCACAGAGGCAGGACTGCGCCAGCAGAGACCCTGCCAGTCTGCACCAAAAGGAACACAGTAAATGAAGGCTTTCAAACCTTGGGGATTCCACAGGATGGATAATGGAGCTGTTCAGCTGCAAACATGCTTTCTTCTTCAAGAAAAGGGACAAATGACCCAAAGGTGATTCAGAAATCAGCAAGGCTGCCGCTCCTACTACAGGCCCTGGGGAAAGGGAGGTCCCCGCCGAGTTTCAGACGGTGGGGCTCCCTCCGCGATTTCAGTGGGCCAGTCCTTCAGGGGCAGGGAGACCCCGAGGAGCCATGAGGGTTAGGCTGCTCCCTGGGGCCACGGGGGCAGTGCTGCTGCCCTAGTGTGTCTGGAAGGCAGAGCATCAGGCCAAAGAAGATTCTTCTCAAGATTCTTCAGATCTAGTGGAATCATGCCTGCCAGGTTTTGGACTTGATGGGGACCCATTATCCGTGTCTTCTTTTTGAGTTCTCTCGTTTGGAATAAGAATGTCTATCCTACGCTTGTCCCACTGTTGTGTCTTGAAAGTACACAACTTGTCTGGTTTCACAGGTTCACAGCTGGAGAAGAATTTTGCTTCGGGATGACTCATTTCTCACCCATACTCCATCTAGGTGACATTTAGTGAGACTTTGGATTTGGAATCAATGTTGCAATGGGTTGACTTCAGGGGATATTGGGATGGGGTGAATATATTCTGCACATGAGAAGGATATGAATCTGGGGGGACTAGGGGGTAGAGTATTATGGGCAGAATTGGATCCCCTTAAAATTTATATGTTGAAGCTCTAACCGCCAATGTGACTGTATTTGGAGATAGGGTCTATTTGAGGTTAAAGGTTAAATGAGGCCATAAGGATGGGGCCTTAACCCAATAGGAATAGTGTCCTTGTAAGTAGAGGCAGTGACACCAGAAATCTCTCTCTTTCTGTGTGTGCGCAGCGAAGAAGCCATGTGAGGACACAGAGAGAAGGTGGCTGTGTACACGCCAGGAAGAGATGCCTCACCAAAACCAGCCCTGAAAACATCTTGCTTTTGGACTTTCTGTAACAGTGAGAAAATAAATTTCCGCTGTTTAAGGCACCCAGTCCGGGACATTTTGTTATGGCGGTCCTGCAGACTAATACAGGGTTCTACACACTTCTTTAAAATTCTTCCCAAGTATTTTCTTATTATAATATTGCTCAAGGTGGCATTTGGGATATGGGTTCTGACACTTCTGTGCACATGTTACTAATGTTCCTCTGCTCCTTTTCTTGAAGCCTGCTCTTATTCCTACTGCCTCAAACCAGTCTGTCCTGGACTTTCTGCTATTGAGTTGCTGCACTCAGAGGGACACAACCTTGGTTTGCCTTTGTAGCAGAAGACAGAGACACTATGACTTCTAAATGCAATCCTTGAGGTCGGATACATACATTCATTTTCAAGCCCAATAGGATCCCCCCCCCAATTAAAAAAAAAAGTATTAGAAACAAGGTGATGATTATACTATCAAAACAGTAGAATTTGTCGGGATTACCTGGTTCCCTGGGTCAACCAGCCCTTGAACACACGGGTGACCAGAGCAGGGTCTCCTCCCCAGAGGCCTGTCCCTGGGGGCACACGCTCTTGGAGGCATCACCTGCACAGTTCCGTTGGCTTCTGTGCGCTTGCATGTCACCTGCCGACTGCGGAATCCTTCACCACAGGACACGGAACACTCTGACCACGCACCTGCGAACCACCTAGGAACAAACACCACAGGCGCTTAGCAAGGACTGGTGTGACAGACCCTACAGAGAGTGTCCTCCAAAGGAAAACCGGACCCTAACACGACGACTGTGTCAGGGCCGTCACACGTCTCCCTGGGACAGGGCAGCAGCACCGGTAACCTCCAGCCCTACTCTCAGATTCTGTTTCACTCAGAGAAGCGACAGAATTACCACGTAGAGCCAACCAACACAGAAGTGGGGTAGAGCCACCTTCAAGTGCGTGAGAGCCTCAGAGAGTAGAGCTTGGGCACAGTCAGGTGGAGATTTCAAAAAGGTGAATTTCAACTGATTGAAAACAAAGGGAAGAAAGTATTTCTAAGGCACCTACGAGCTCTTTTTGCTGCAGGATATTTACATGTCGTCTTATGTAATTGCCATGTTGCTCCCATTCTTCTAAGGAAGAAACTAATGTCTGTGGGGTCAAACAGCTATTGTCACATCACTAACATGCCAACAGAGCCGGGATTCAAATTCTAGGCTTATCTGACTCTAGAGCTCATACTCTGATGGTTTCAGGAGACTAATCTTAGAAGTGGACACCTTAGAGATGCAGAGTGCTCTGCCGCTGAAGATGTTCAAGCTGCCGCTGGGACACGACAGAGCAGGGCTTCCTAACCCGAGGCCCATGCTTCTCTAAGGGGACCCTGGACTTGGATGGGAAAAGAATTCCATTTTTTAAAAACTGAAGTATAGTTGCTTTACAATGTTGTGTTAGTTTCAGGAGGCTCCTGGAGAAATCATCGTGAGAAATGATGATGGCTTGGACCCCAGTGGTAACAGTGGAAATTGACAAGCGTGGAGGGAAGTGAGAGGAAAAGGGGAGTTTAGGATGCCGTCACTGTGGGCTGGAACACAGGGGATGGGTCGGGTTTGGTGGGGATCATGCATTTGATTTTGGACTTTTACAAAATTATCGATTAGTGTCATCTATTACACAGTAAGGTTATTAATGGTTTTACCTCTGGGTTGGAGTCTAGGAAACAGAACTTTCAACTAGCAGCCCTAGTGAGTTTGGCCCCCTGCATGAGCTCCTAGGTAAACCCATGAGATCAGCTTTGCCGCGCTCTTAGGGTGCAGTGTGAGTGCAGGCAGCAGACTTGGGCATGATTAAGAGCGGTGGCTCTGAGATCAGATTATCTCAGACTGAGTTCTGGCCCTTGTGACTGTGTGGCCTAGGGGATTTTCTCCATCTGTGAAATAGAAAACGAATAGCGTCAGCTTCGTAGGTGATTGTGAGGTGACCCACATAAGGCAGTTAGCAGAGGGCCTGGTACAGTGCACAGTAAATAAATCTTAGTGATTAAGTTATTAAATCCAAATTACTATGTGTTTTAAAACAGGCGAAAACCTGGTTCTGGTGAGATAAGAAGTGACTATCCATACCTCGAGGGGCAGTCCCGGATGTTACAGGGCTGGAACCCAGACAGGGGCTTCTGGAGATGACCACAGAAGGCCTCGCCCACTTCCTGCCCGTTGGCCATCACGCACCGGGGTCTCTGAACTCGGGCTCCCAGGTGGCCACAGGTGGCAGAACATTGTGTCCAGTTGCCCAGCTCCCAAAAAGGCTCTGCAGAAAGAAAATGAATGCCATGACAACCCTGGGCGAGAAACGATGATGCGCTGGAGACGACAAGGCCAAAGCCCGCCACGAGCTGTTTTCTGGCTGGCCGCCTGTCTGGTCCTTTAAGTAGCACACAGAGAGTAAGCCATCACACAGTGCAAGGGGGTCCTTTAAATCTCCTTCTCCCTCAACGAGCTTACTGTAATAACTGGTGGAATGGCAGCCAGAATGGGGCCCTTGGACCACAGCCTGGGAGAGGGGCTACTGCAGACCAGCTGGATCTGCCAGAAAACTCCCAGAGAGAGGGAGGAGATGTTCTGTGCAGGGGCTGCCTCCTCAGCCCTCTAGCTCTCTCCAAGTGGAGCCAGGAGGACAGGAGGGGAGGGCCTCTTGGGCGACATCCTAGTGGGTTCCATTTCTCACAAGCGGATCAGGTGGAGAAATGAAAGATGATTTAGCAGGGAGCAGGGATTAAGCAGAAAGGTTAAAGAGGCATTTCAGTCCTATCCTTACTTTTCCACTAATTCTTAATCTAAACTTCAGCACAGTCCTGAAGCTGCGTAAATAATCTGTCATGGAGACATCTGGAAAGGTGAAAACGGGACTTTCCTTTAGAAAAGCTGACACTGATCACCTCCAATAATTATAGCTTTTCTATGTTGGTCCCCGTTCCAAACAGTTTTTCCCTTCCCTTTTGACACTTGGTCAAAAGATGAGGTAGGACGCGATGATGACAGATTTGTGTACGATCACGGGAGGTGCCAGATTTTCTTGTAATAATCACAAGTAATTGATAGCTACCAGCTGTGTCCACAGGCGCCCTCTCAGAGCAGAGTGATTTCTTTAACTTAATTGTTTTCCAGTTTTTCCTTTTGATTTTTGAATTTTTGTCTTACGTTGCATATGGCATCATTGCAGAACAGTATATAATTTTTAGTTGGCCCCTCAGGATTAAAGTTCATTTAAAACAATTTTCTAAATAGCTAAGTTTGCTGAGCATTTTCCAGATGACAGGTATTGAGTTAAACACTTTAACATCAATTTTTCTATTTAATCCTTACGGCCATCCTGTGAATTAGATTATTTTTATATGCAGAGGTGGAAAGTGAAAAAAAGCTAAGTGACTTGCCCAGGGTCCCTCATGTGTCAGCTGGATTGGAACCCAGGGTGTCTGGCTCCAAATTGAACTCTTTCTACCAGGCCACATTTCATGAGATACGTTGATAGTTCAAGGCAGGACATACATGTATTTCTTTTAAAAAATGTGTTTTTTTTATTGAGGTATAATTCATATACAGCAGAATGCTCAGATATCAAGTGTGCAGTTTGATAAGTTTTCACAACTGTATGTACTTATGTAACCATGATCCAAAGCAAGGTCTATAACCTTTCATCACCCCCTAAATTTCCTCTTGCCTCTTTTTAATCAATTCCCATCTCCTCCCAGGCAATTACTTGCTCTTTGCTATCAGTGTACCTCAGTATTACCTGTTCTTGGACTTCATACAATATATACTCTTCGGTGTTTAGCTTCTTCTGCTTAACAAAAGTTTTTGAGATTCATCCACATTGCTGTGCATATCAGTAATTCATTTCTCTTTTATTGCTGAATAATATCCCATTGTTTGAATATACCATAGTTTGTTTATCCATTCCGCTGTTAATTGCCATTATGAAGCGAGGACTGCTATGAACATTCTTACATGAATTTTTTTGTGAACACGTGGTCCTACCTTCACTAAAGTGGCTATAACCATCCCTAGGTATCTCATCACCCTGTTCTGTTTTCTTTATAGCATTTTCTACACAGACATACCTTACACATTTATCTGCTTACTTGTTTGTTGTCCTTCTCTCCTACTGGAATGTCCCGTCCTTGAGATTGGACATGTTATATAATAGGAACTCAGCCAGCAATTGTTGAGTTAATGAGCGTCTTTGAAATGCTAACCCCTGAAGGGCTGGCATATTCCACAATGCGCGCGTGTGTGTGTGTGTGTGTGTGTGTGTGTGTGTGTGTAGGAGACAGTAGAACAATGTAGGTAGTTTCAATAAACCAAATTTTGAAATATCCCCAAAACTCCACCTTTACCAGCAGTTTCAGCCTCGTGAGTATCCAATTTTTTTATTAACTGATTTGAGGGGGTCATTTCGATCTTCATGTTCCATGCCACAGGGAACTTCTCTCTGCCTTGCACATCCCTATTTCTCTGCCTGGAATGTTCTTCCTCTTCCCAGGACAAACATCATGACCTGTGTGAAGACCTGGCTGACTTCTCCAAAGAGCATTAGGGTCCCTTCCTCAGAGCTGCCATGTTCCTCGGTATTTTGGTCATTTTTCTATTACAGCACTTGTCACACTGATTCCAAACACCTGTTTACATGACTGCCTCCTTCTTTAGACTGTGAGCTTCTCAAGGCCCAGGTCGCCTCTGTATCCCCAGCCCCGGCAAGAGTAAGCCCCGGGCAAGTACTTGTTGAATGTGGTTATGCTTGTGTCTCCTTCAAATTCACGTGTGAAATCCTAACGTCCAACGTGATGGTCTTGGGAGGTGGGGCCTTTGGGAGGTAATCAGGTCATGAAGGTGGAGCCCTCCTGAATGAGATTAGCACCCTTATAAAAGACGCCCCAGGGAGTGCCTTCATTGCCTCTACCATATGAGGGCATAGAGAAGAGAAGGCTGTCGGTGAACCAGGAAGCGGGCTCTCCCCAGACACGGGAGTTGCCGGTGCCTTGAGCTTGGAGCTCCCAGCCTCCAGAGCTGAGGGGAATTAACGCCTGTTGTTCATATGCCACTCGGTCTCCACTATTTTGTTACAGTGGCCCAAACAGACCGAGATGAGTGCTGAACAAATGGACAGCAGTGCATGTAATAATAGTAGTATAATGTCTACGGAGAAGAAAATAAATGCCCTATAAACACCCTAGATGAGGAGGTCACAACCAACATGAGCTGGATGGGTTGTTGACTGGCAGCTCAACACTATATTCCCCTTCTGGGCTTTCCCTGCATCTCAGCAGGTCGGAAGCCCAGGAGCTACATTTCTCGAATCTCTGTCTGCAGTTATACCCTGTAGGCGATATTCTGCAAATGAAAGGCACTAGCTCAGGATTTAAAAGGTTGAAATGACATAGTCATTATTATTCCTACATAGTCGGTATAAGAAGCACGAGGTCTAACAGCAGCTTCTGTGTGTCCTGTGATTTATTCATTTTTGAGCTGAGATCATCACTACAGGTTCCCTGAGATTCTAGCATTTCTGATTTCTCTCTCTCTCTCTCTCTCTCTCTCTTTTTGGCAGGTTTTTTTTTAAACTGAAGCATAGTCAGTTTACAATGTTGTGTCAGTTTCTGGTGTACAGCACAATGCTTCAGTCATACATATACGTACATATATTCATTTTCACATTCTTTTTCATTATAGGTCACTACACGATACTGAATATAGTTCTGTCTGCTGTACAGAAGAAACCTGTTCATCTGTCTTATATAGAGTGTCAGTATCTGCAAATCTCGAACTCCCAATTTATCCCTTCCTACCACCCCCTTTCGCCCAGTAATCATGTTTGTTCTCTATGTCTGTGAGTCTGTTTCTGTTTTGTAGGTAAGTTCATTTGTGTCTTTTTGCATTTCTGATTTCTTAACTCTACCTCCCTCCCTTGGCCTCTTGAAGAGTTTTGCAAGCTTGAAATACTTAGATTAGGTTCTTCTGATAGAGCACTGATGCATAACAAAGTCAGTACGTGTGGAAAAAAATATTTGTGAAAGAAGAAAAATGAAAGAATCAATTCCACAATTCTTAGCAAATCTTCCCTCTATTAATACTTGCCAAGTTGGCGATCGTTTTGCAGCTGGAAAAGCAATACCTGCATTACCACAAATGATGGGCTTTGGGATGTGAGCTCTGTGGGCATTCTCAGGAGTGATTTTTTTTTAAAGTTTCAGTATAGAAGGAGCAAGTTGAACCACAGAAGGGTTGAGGGGGAAGGGAAAAGCTGGCTGAATGCCTAGGAATAATTTTACTTATTACAAACTACAAAAACGTGGAGGGTTTTTTTTTAAACTAAATCCTTTTCCTTGCACATGTCTCACCACCAACAAATCCCCAAAAAAGTCAAAATCCCAGACCTGAAGGTAGTGGTTCTCCTGTTGGCTCACTGCTGTTGGTTCCAGTGTTGGACGTCTGGAGTATATGCTTTTTATGGTCCTTGGGAAATACACTCTTACTGTTTGACTGTCTTCGTTCTGAGAAAAAAAAAAGAAACACTTGTTTACCAATTAGAATTAACCTAATTCTTGTTCCAGCTTGAGCGTTCTTAAAGAGGAGGAATCCTAGGGAATAAGCCTTTTCTAACAGAATTCTCTGTCCCAGATGCTCAGGCTCACACAGACCTGGGAGCTCTGTGTGGGGCTGGGTATGTGGGGTCCTCCAGGGGTTTAGTTAGAGTCGTTAACTAAGCTAATTAATGTGGCATCTCTGCATGTTTTCAGGGTTTATAGCCTAACTAGCAAGGCAGGAAAGATACATTCACCAGAATCCCCTGCGGGACCGGAGGAAGCAGCTAGGTCTGACAAAGGGCCGCCCCGCCAGGGAACTTTGGGAACAGGAGAAGACATGATGTCTTACAGGGGACCTCACGTGGTGAGGAGTACGCTCAGGCTTTCAGGAAGGCTGTGAATTGTGCGTGTAAGAGCAGAAGGATGGTGGAGGAATGCTGCATCTCATGAGATACAGGACATTCTTGATCCCTCAATCACATGATCAAAGGCAGGAGCCACTTGGCTGCAGAGGCTTCTGAGAGGAGATGTGTGCAGGGCAGAACCGAGACAGCCGTGCACACCCATGAGTGGGGTTGGGGAGGAGCAAGGAATAAGGCTGGGACATCTCAGGGAGCTTGGGGAAGGCACTCAAGGATCAGATGTGTTTGCCCCCCCAAGTGAGACGCAAAGGAATTGGAACGTTTTTCACAGACGTCAGCTTCATTTGGACCATCATCAAAAATAGCAAAAGTTTCCACTTTGGGGGTTAAATATAAAAGCAGAATTTACGAAGATTCCATTCATTTGCATTAGCAAATGTTTGTGCAGCAGCTTTTGCCTGTGAAAACATACTCGTATGAGACATATAATATTCACCTAAAAATGGACAATTATTTGTATATTATGTGACGACTAAGTTTTTAATTTATAAATTGCAGTCTTTGTTAATTGCATGAGTTTTTCCTCAGCCTCTTGTGAATATCTTTGTTTTGTTTAACAGAAATATTCTACATACATTGAATACTGAGCTATCGGTATGGACAACAGAAGTGCTTTGTGGAGTTGCTGCAGATGCTTGTAGGATTCTATATCGACAAGTAAAACAGCAAATAGTTTTGTACTTAAGAAAAAAAAAGAATCAGATGGGTTTGGCCTACCCCATTTGTTGAAAATCTTCTACTCTAAGACTGTCAAGGACCACAGAGGCTCTTTGGGAAGGGCCACATGGAGGTACACCAGTGCCTTTCTAATCAGCAATGAGCGTCCAGGAGGGGGGTGCATGAAGAACACTGAAGGAGGTGACTATATATTTGGTCTCTAATAGAAACTTCCTATGAGCCTTTGGTTTCCCCATTTATACAACAGGATAAAAGATGACTGCCCACAACACTGTGCTGCTGGAAATGTCAAAAGAGTGAACGCACATCAGAGTGCTTCGTGCATGACAACTCTTCCAACTGCCCGTCTATTTACATTCCGGGCTCCTCTCATCGCCAGCAAGAAAAGCCATGGAGAGAGCGCTTTCCCATCGTCCTCTTAGTTCATCAGTGGACACTATACTCTCATACCAATTCCGCCAATGATTCAATTTCATTCATTTATGAAACATTTACTTATCACTTACACCTGTGTTAGGTGCTGGAGACACAATGGGGAGTGATAAATGATCTCTAATGTCAGTCTAGCCGACTTCTGTGATTAGATCTCAATTGGCTCCAAACTCTGGCAGGAAAGAGGAGTATTATTTATTAAGTCCTAAAACCCCAGCAATTTAATGTCCATTCTGGTGACAGGAGTTTGGTGAGCTCCAGATATGATCCCTGACAGACAGCAGCAGAAGCCAGCCTACCATCCTGTGCCGGGGCCACGTTGTAATGACCTTCCTCAAATTACAACACCAACCCGAATATGAGCTGTCTTAAGACTTCATTAGTATTTATTGAGCACCTAGTATGTGCTTAATACTATATTATATTCTTAGGCCTGCAAAAAAACAACATTAGACGTGAAAGAGCAGGATGCCTGAAAGCCAGACTTCCAGGTAAGCAGCATGAGGCGGGGGTGTGTGTGTGCACGTGTGTGTGTGTACTGGATCATACGGCAGGAAACTATGTTGACTAGAACCGAGTTTAGTGCTAGCTTACACTGGAGGTAAGGAGTTAAGCAGGTATAGAGGCAGAAGTTGAAGGATCCGGATTCTGGCCAGGAAAGTGTATATCCCAGCATATGCTCTTAGGTGGAGAAGTAGCAGCAAGAAAGTCACACCTTCTAGGGGGAGAACCAGTGAGATGGAGTGTGAGGTAAGTGCTTGTTTGAAAGCGGGCAGTGGCAGCAATAGTTCAGACCATTTAATGCTCACTTGTTTCCTCGACTCCAGAATCAACCAAGCCAGGTGCTACTTTGTACATATTCCAGGAAGCACCTGAAGAACAAGAATTTGATGCTTACCCAGTAAGTGGAGGACAGATGTTGCCACTGCCTTTCCAAGAGCGTTGGTGGCTGTACAGACGTAGGTTCCTTCGTTTTCAAGGGAAACGTTCTGCAACAACAGGGATCCATTGAAAAGCAAGGAAATATTGTCACTCAGAGATCCTCCTTTCTTCACCCAAGTTACATTAGGCTGAGGGACACCTTTGGAATAAAAACAAATACGACAAAGGCAAATTCCTTTAAGAACAGGGACACAGAACCAGATGACAAATACCGTTTAGCATTTTGAACACAAGCTGGCAAATGAGTTAAATCTCACAGAGTAGGAAAAACGGCTGTTTCCATTTCTGTAGCTCCTCTATGGCAGGTGGGGAATGCTGCTAAGGCAAAGAAAGGGCTTTGGTCTACTGAGCACCTGATTGGTTTATGCAGATAAGTCAAGGGATGGGAGCCAAAGAAGGTGGGATTGCTCTGTGTTGGGAAGGGAGAGAAAGTTGAAGCTGAGTGGGGGTGATGGGAGAGTGGTTGGAAAAGAGGAGCTGGTCAAGCTGGGTGAACATGGAGGCAGAGACAAAGAGAGAAATTCCTAGCAGTAGGTTGTCACAAGGAAGGCTTTGGAAGACAAAAAAAATACCAAATACGAATCTTTTAAGTGGTTCACTGTGCATATGCAATGAAATGTTCCTCCCTCAGGAGGAATACAAAATCTTCAGGGAAATAGATTTTGTTCATTCATGCTTTTGCAAAAGAGGATAATTTCAGAGAATAGAAAGTGTTGCATTTCAAGTCTGGGTTGACGTAGTGAGGTGCACAGACCATAAGCAACATCTCTGGACACAGAGAGGAGCATAAGGAATTGAAACAGTATCTTCCCCCAAATCTTGGAAAGTCTTAGCAGTTTGTGTGGCTGTGGGATGCGAAACTCAGAAGAACCTCATTTGGTCCTTAAGAGCTGGGGCAGCCTCTCATGATGCCTGAGATCAACCTAGGTAACTGGTTTTGGGGAATGTCCCCTCCTCCTGCAGTGCCTCTGGCTAGACAGCCTATGGCAGACACAGCAAGGCTTTCTGGCAAAGAACAGATGTCATCGCTGTCATCATGACATTTGCAATGCACCCGACAAGAAGCAGAACACACGCTCTGTGAACACTGGGGGCGCTTTGATTCTCAGTTACTCCCATCTGCTGGGAGGCAGTCATGGTTGGCTCTGTCTTACCAGGCCGCAACCCGAATACCCAGAGAAGTGCTAATCCCAGGTGCATGTATCTTTTTCACTGTTTCTTCTACAAATATAAATACACAGAGGTTAAATTTTCCTAAGGTCACCAGCTAGTAAACATTGGATCTGAGATTCACTCCCGTGCAGTTTACTCCAGAAACTCTCTCTTAACCACAATGTAAGTAGATCTTGTTTATTTCTTTTTAATTTTTAAATTATTTAAAATTTTTAAATTTTTTGTTGAGGGAGGTAATTAGGTTTACTTATTTATTTTCAGAGGAGGTACTGGGGATGGAACCCAGGACCTTGTGGGTGTTAAGCAGGCACTCCACCACTGAGATATACCTCTTCCCTTACATATTTCTTGATAGATTTATTCCCAGGCATCTTATAATTTTTATTGCCATACTAAGCAGGCTCTTTTAAAATATATTTTATAGTTGTTTATTGCTGACAATTAAGAAAGCAAGGAACATTTGCATATTTATCTTGTATCCAGTCATCTTACTGAACTTTATTATTCTGAATAGTTTTCAAATGATTTTCTTGCCTTTTTTAAAGGGAAACAATCATACCACCTGTACATAAAGATAATTTTATCTCTTTTTCTCACATGTATGTCTACAATTTCTATTAACTATCGCATTATGTTGACTGATGTCTCTAGAACAATGCTGAACAATAACAGGTACAGCAAGCACATTTGTCTTGTTTCCAGCTTTAAAGGGAATATTACTAATATTTCATCCTTAAGCGCAATGTTTGCTTTTGTTTTCTGATAGTTGTTGCCAAATCAAAGAAATCGCCTTCTGTTTCTGGCTTACATGGAAATTTCTAAGTCTTTGAGTTAACAGTTTATTTTAATTGACTTTTAACAGAATGAAAATATCTAAAGCTCTTAATTTTCTTTTGAGTACAGCTTTGACTGTGTATCATATTTTGAAATGCAATAAACTATTACGATTATTTCATTCATTTAGAAAATGTTTATGAAGCGCCTACTCTATGTGAGACTCCATGCTGGTGCAAAGGATACGATGGAGAACTAAGTTCCTCGAGAAACTCAATTTTAAAAGGAGGCTTTGAAGGGAAACCCATGGTTGCAAAGAAAGGACATAAGGGCTTATGTTAAAGGTAAACACTGGATGCCACTGGCATATAAAAGCTGTATTTAATACACACTGGAAAGACGGGGAAAATGTCCATAGGAAGGGACATCTAAACAATACTTTAGGACAAGGAGGAACACATCAACTGAAGAGGGTAGGGGGGTTGGAGATTGTTTTAGGCAGAGGGAACAGCATGCATAAAAAAGGCCTAGACACGGAGAAAAATACAGTGCACTTGGGGAATCATAAATTGTTTTTTTTATAACTGGAGCTTAAAGTACATGGAGTAGGAGTGAGGAGAGATAAAACTAGGGAGGTGAGCAAGTGCCCATAAAATGAAAATCTGTTTATCTGTAGTAAGGAGCTTGGTGGAATGTATCCTAAAGGAAACAGGAAATGGTTTAATTAGTTTAAGTACTGGTAAAAATATCAGATTATTGGTTTAGAAACATGGGTCTAGATGTGGTGCAAAATGGAGAAAAGGGAGGCGAGGACCAGGAGGACCAGTGGTTACTGAAGCAATTGAGGTGAGACAATGAAGGCTGCTCAGAAAAAGGCAGGAGCCATGGATTCGGAGAGAAATGAATTAACTTAGTAAATATTAAAGAAGAAAAACCAGTAGGTTTTGGTGACTGGTTTTATATGGGGGAATCAAGGAGAAGAAGGATTTAAGGATGACATGCCTGTAGACGGTGGTACCATTAACTGAAACGGGAAATCAGAGGAAGAGCAGGTCCGCGTGGAGTACGTGATAAATTACTGTCAGCGTGTTGAGGCCGGGGGGTGGGGGGGGCAGGCATCTCACTGAGCACACACGCCGAGGCGCCTGCTGGCACACGTCGTGGGTGGAGACTGACGGGTGCCATCGTCATGCCCGCCCTTTGCTGTCCCTGGAGCATCAGACCTCCCAGAAGAGCGCTTTTACACACGTCTGCTCTGATTTTTGTGGCTGCTGCCTGCGAGCTGCCTCTGGATTGACTGCCCGGCTCTGGAGGACGGAGGAGCTTGTGTTCCAGTCCCATGAGACTGTAATCATTGGTGTCACCCAGAAAAGAGCTCTTACTCCTGCCTGGCACCCTGATTTCTGTGACTGCTGCCAGAGGCCACCTCTGCATCACATGGATCTGGTGGCCAGTGGGGCTTATGCTTGTGGGTCCTACAGAGTTGTGACCAATGGAGAAAAAGTTCTTAAACAGCTATCACCCCCAGGGCACAGCAAGAGACAACAGACCCAGGTGCTCCTGCTTCCTCTGAAGGAGGCCTGTCAGCTAAGCACCACGACGTCTGATTCAACCTGCATCTTAGGGCTGGCTGCAATCCCTTCCAGAGACCTCTGAGCGTCAGCCTCTGCCATGCTCCACAGTGACAGTGTTTCCTGGAGGGAAGCCTTCCATACATTTAGTGCCCCAGTTTTTACATCAGGTGCCCTGGTTTTGGTGGCTGCCACTCAGAGGATGCTCCTTGATCACCTGGCCCTGGTGGCCAGGGTAGGAGCTTGCATTCCTGGGTCCCAGAGGGCTGTGGCAATCAGAGAGGTCATTCTGGGTAGGCTACTACCGCCAGAGCACTGGACAGACAGCAGATTGAAACACAGTCTTTCTGTGAAGGAGGCCTCTTTGCTTGCCCTGGAGCTCTGGCCCAAGGGGATGGCTTCAGGTTTGGCTCACATTCAGTGGCCTATGAAGCTGCTTTCAAGGAATGGAGGCTGTGGATGTGTCTTGGTGCTCTCCTGCTGCCTCGCTCCAGCTCACCAGTACCACCCAGAGAAGAGTTTAGACACTCATTTGGAGCAACTGCCACCCAGGGGACGCTCCCAGGTCTTCTGATCTGATGGCCATCAGGGGTTACACTTGCAGTCCCACAGGACGGCATGTATCTGCACACTTAAAGAAAAAAAAATTGATCCTGAGGGTCTAGCCTCCAGTCAGCTTGAGTCTAGGTGCTGAGATCCTTCCCTTTGGGACACGGAAGGGTCCTGGCACATCCTCAACTACTAGGAGTTATTAAAAATGTAAGAGGCTGCTTGGACAAGCACAAAGGTTTGAGAGACAATCAGGAGCTGAGGGTTGAACAACAAGTTTCATCTCCTACAAGAGGCTGCGCCTTCAAAACTGGGAGAGGTGGTTGCTTTGTCTACTGGACAGAAGGAATCCAC